GATTTACCACTCACCCAACGCCACCCTGGTCCTGCTGACAGCAACCTGGGCCTGGCACAGGCTGGGATGTCCCCGCTGCTGTGCCCAGGGCAGTGCCAGGTTTCTGCCTCCCCGTGCTCATGGAGGTGATGCCTGGGTTTGGTTTGGCCCCACCAAGGATGTTTCCCTGTCCCTGTCCTCCTCCTCCTGCCCCAGTCAGCATCCCAGTTGCCTGGACTTGGCTTTCCTTTCCCCCCTGGACTCCTTGTCAGAGATTCCCGAGGTGTCTACACCGCCTGTGACGCCCTGCACCTCCTTCTTTGAAATTGAATTAAAAATCAGGTCTGTCCCCCTTGTTCTGTACCAGCCTCAGGAGTGTTCTTGCCAGCAGGTTTTGCATTCCCGCAGTCCCAGCGCTCACATTTGCTGCTCCTCTGCAGGGAAGTGGGGCTGACTTCATCCTCTCGTGGAAAATGAGACTCTCTTGGGCATTGTGGGGTTCTCAAGGGGACGTTTGCTGTGCCCACATCAGGATTATCCTCTCTGCCTCCCCACCCGCACAGGAAAGATGTGGAAATGGAAGAGCTTTGGCACATCTCTATTGCACAGACGGGATTGCTGGGTCCGTGGCTGCGGGCTGGGGGTGCAGCAGTGCCTGCTGTGACCCCCTGTGACATCCATCACCCCCCACACACCACGGGGGTCAGGAAGGGTCCCCTCCTGTGTCCCCCCCACCTGAGTGACCGATGAAGGCCCTTGGAGCTGTCTGACACCATCCCGTGGTGCAGATGGGGAACACTGAGCTATGAGATGTTTTTTATGGATGTCAAGGATGGGGTGTCCCCACTTCAGCGGGGCTAAACCCTTCTCCCTGCAGAAAATATCCCATTCTCTCCATTTGGGGCTGGATTTTTCCACCCAAAGCAGTACGAAAGTGCCTGCTTAGCAGGATTACCAGTACAGACAAAATCCATTGGGAAGGAGAGGGTGCAGCTCTGAAAAGGGAGGGGGTGGAACCCCCCGGGTTGTGTGGGAGCGACTCCTTCGTGCTGCCCTGGGAAACCTCGGGCAGCTCCAGTTCCAGCTGCAGCATCGCTCCCACCTTTGGAGGGAGGGGTCCGTCCGTCCGTCCGTCCGTCCGTCCGTCCCCACCGACTCTCGGGACGGGCTCAGACCCACGACTCCTCATCATCCTCGGTCAGGCAGGTGCCGCTGTCACCCAGGGACGGCGTGGGGCGTGTGCCGCCGGGCTGGGGGGCTCGGGGCGGCGCCGGGGGCCGGTGCTGGGCGCGGGGGGCAGCGGGGCGATGCCCCAGCGGGGTGGGGATGCGCGAGGGGCGCTTGCCCGGCCTGTGATCCCGCCGGGGGCGCACCTTGGGCCGCAGCTTCAGCTTGTAGATGGAGGGCACACGCTCGGGCTTCTTCAGGCACCGCCGGGGCTTGGCGACGCTGCCGGCCCTGGGTGCCCGCGGGGTCTGGCCCCCCACCCCCGGCCGCTCTGCCTCCGCCGGGGCTGGGAGCTGCGGGGCAGCTCCTGCGGGTGTTTGGGGGACCTGGCTCCGCATCCCCACGGGGCGCAGGGGCTGCCGCCCGCGGGAGAGCTCCTCCAGCACCCTGTCATAGCCGGGGGGCTGCGTGTGCCTACAGCACCCCCGGAGCCCCTGGCCACATCCTCTGGCTGCCCCGGCTTCATCCTCTGGCGCCCGAGGTCCCTGAGCAGCCGCAGCCCCTGGGTCCGGGGCGGGGTGGCACTGCCGTGTCCCCTGGGGACCGTCCCCAGCAGCACAGACCCTGCACCCCCCTGCGGGACGGCCCAGAGGGGTGGGGGGCCGGGACGGGGCCGGGCTGGCTTTGCTGGGGGGTTTAACGCCGCTGTCCACTTTCGGGGGGTGGCTGGAGGAATTTCGGGGTGAAGGCTGTCGGCCCCGGCCAAGGGCTCCCTGCCTCCCTTCTCCCGGAGCATCCCGGTGCGAGGAGGGGGCACAGACCTTTAGGGGACTGGGGGCACGGCCCTTGCAGGGGCTGGGGGCTCGGGGTGTCGCTGTGGCGGGTGTCTCCGTTTCCTGTGGCCTGGCAGCCAGCGCAGATGATTTTCCTCCTTGCCGGCTGCTTCTCGGAGGTGCCGGCACCGTCCGCGGGCCGGGTGCTGCGGGCCTGCCCCGTGCCGGTGCCACAGGGATGCATTTCCCTGGGCCCAGCCGGGAAGGGACGGGTGCCCGGCCCCTCGGCCCGTGCCCAGGGGAGCTGGATCGAGCGGGTGACCGGGATGGTGGCGGCTGCCTCCCCAGAGGGACAGCGGGTGGCTCCCGCATCCTGCGGGGAGAGACAGCGGAGAGAGGACAGGGAGCTGCAGCATCCCCCCCCGTCCCGCCTGGTGCTGGGCACCTCCAGAAGGGAATGCGGGAAAAATTCCAAGGGTGTGAGAAAAACCGCTCTGAAGCCAGGCAGTTTGGGGCACGAAGCATCTCTGCGCCACTTACCTGCCCGAAGGGACCCTCCGGGGCTGCGCCGGCTCCGGGTGAGGGCTGGAACCCGGCTGGCGACCCGAGCCCTCTGGCGAGGGGGTGGCAGGGGACCGGGGACCCCCGGAGGGGACACGGGCCCCCCAGGTGACGGGGGGCAGGGGGCTCTGGGAGCGGCTGACCAGCAGCGCGGGCTGGGGGCTGCGGGCGGCCGCCCTCGGGGCCGGGCACAGCCGCACCTCGTGCTGCACCGGCTGCTGCGGGCTCCGCGCTTTCCAGGCTTGTTTGTGAGCTGTGGGGACAACGAGGGGGGCTCAGCACCCCTGTCCCCTGCACCCACCCCCGCCTGCAGCCCACCCAGCCGTGCTTCAGCATCCAGCCCCCCGAGGGTGCCGGCGGAAAGCTGCGCTCCCTGCGAAGTGGCTTTTGGCGTCTGGCTCCATCCAAAAGTCTTCCATGACCTCTAGTGGCCACCAAAGCCAAAGAAGGTCCCCAAAACCCGACATTCCTCAGCAAAACAACGAGGCACGGCTGTACCAAAGCCTCCCGCTAATGAAAATGTCCCCGAGCATCATGGAGACCCCCACAGACACCCCCAGTCTCAGGCAGCCGCGGGGTTTGGGGACGCGGGGACTCACAGAGCGAGGTGCAGCGACACGGGTCGTGCTTGTCCAGGTAGTGCTCCAGCGTGTCCCAGCCGCCCCCGACCCGCACCATGACGTGCTCCCGCAGGATCTGCACGGGAAGGGCCATGCCAGGGGATGCCAGCACGCTCGGCCGCCTTCGGGAGCTGTGGGCTTGCCCTAAGTGCCACCAGGTGTCCCGAAGGACGGCTGCGTCCCTGGCTCAGCTCCTGCGGCCATCCCGTCGTCACCACAAGGAGGGTGGGGACCCTTTTGGACAACCCCTGTCCTTAGTCTTGTGCTGAATTCTTTGGCCAAGCTTGGGGATGGATTCAGAGCATCCCAGCGTTCCTATGGCTGGGGGAGACCAGGCTGTGGTGCTGTGGGATGGCAGGTTATGTCCCACACACATGGATGGATGGATGGATGGATGGATGGATGGATGGATGGATGGTAGATGGATGGATGGATGGATGGATGGATGGTGGATGGATGGATGGATGGATGGATGGATGGATGATGGAGGATGGAGGATGGATGGATGGATGGATGGATGGATGGATGGATGGATGGTAGATGGAGGATGGATGGATGGATGGTTAAATCCATCCAATATGGATGATTAAATCCATACCAACATCTATTGCAGGGCTGAACTCTCCCACTGCCCTGCTTTGGGAATAATGGTCCGAACTCCTACACGGGCCCCTTTGGGGGCTTATGGAAAGGGTTGTGGCAGCAGAGCAGAATTCCTGGTGCCTTTCCCCCAAAAGCATGGGTGAAGCAGACTCACCCGGACAAAGATGAGGGTGTCAGAGTCCCCCACTCGGTATTTCCCTTCGGAGATCTTGATCATGGGGAACTGGACAGGGCAGGTACAGCAGCTCACCATGTGCTGGACCTGTGGGTGGCAGGGATGGGTCCTCACCAGGGCTGCTGGGCAATGGTCCTGGGCTGGCCGTGCCATCCGCATCCATCTCCATGCCCATCTCCATGCCCATCTCCATGCCCATCTCCATCCATCTCCATGCCATCTCCATCCATCTCCGTGCCCATCCCCATCCATCTCCATGCCCATCTCCATCCATCTCCATGCCCATCCCCTTCCATCTCCATGCTCATCTCCATGCCCATATCCATGCCCATCTCCATCCATCTCCATATCCATCTCCATGCCCATCTCCATCCATCTCCATATCCATCTCCATCCATCTCTATATCCATCTCCATGCCCATACCCATCCATCTCCATGCCCATCCCCATCCATCTCCATGCCCATCTCACTGCCCATCTCCATCCATCTCCATGCCATCCCCATCCATCTCCGTGCCCATCCCCATCCATCTCCATGCCCATCTCCATGCCACCCCCTGCCCCTTGGCACCATCTGGTCGAGGTTGTTGAGGTCCCGTCTTCTCCTGGGGGGACGGGGCAGGGCGGGCTCTGTGGCAGGCAGGTCCAGCTCCTGCCGAAGCTCCTCCTCGATCTCCTCCTCCATCTGCACCAGGGTCGGGGCGCGCATTCCGAAGCGGGAAGCGTGGCGTGCCAGCTCCAGCAGGCACAGCACGAAGTTCTTCTCGTTCTTCCTCAGCACCAGGTCCTCTGTCTCGAACATCACGACGTCTGGGCAGGGCAGGGCAGGGCTGAGCCGGGGTTGGCACGTGGGGATGAGGACAAAGGGGATGGGGGGCACAGATGGAGTCAAAACCCACCCAAAAAGTGCTGTTCACTGGAGCCATCCCTCCAGGAATATGGCTGGGTTCAACAAGAGTTGGGAGAAATGATAAAGGAGGAAGAGCCTTTCATTTTGGGCATCTACAGCTGTTTCATGGCACCCCAAAGCCACAAAATTCAGTGTCTGAGAGCCCTGAGGACGTCTTGCTCTGTGCCACTCCCCTTCCTGGGCATCCATGGTGGTAGGACAGGGTGCCAGGCGCTTTGCTCAGAGCCAGGATTTCTCCTGCTGTCCTCAGGGCTGGGACCGTGCCGTGCCTGGCAGGGACACGCTGTGCCATCCACCCTTTCCTTTTCCATTCCTCCTGTGCACATTTGCACCCCAGCAAACACTCCAGCCACGTGCCAGCACCCTGCCAAGCTGCTGCCAAGCCTGGAGGACATTTTACAAGGGGTGCCAGCTCGGGGACGCTTGCACACGGGGTGGCACCGGGTTTGGGGGACACGTGGCAAAACATGGAGTGGCTGGAGGGGACTTGAACACGGAGACACGGGACAGCTGGAGCCTGGCATCCTACCTTTGATATCCATTTCCTTCCTGCACCACTGGATGAAGTTGGAGACGTTGTCCCTGGCCTGGAAGGTGCCTGGCTGTGCTGTGAGGTTGCAGGTGACACCAGCAGTGGGCAGGTGGAGGTGCCGGGCCAGGTCGGGGAAGGCACGGGCAAACTCCCCGGCCACCTGGGTGACGTGGTTGGCGTGGGAGCACAGCACAGCCCCCGTCTCCAGCACCTCCAAGAAGGTGCCCACCTCGATGTCGAGGCCGTAGAGCTCCTTCAGCCACTCTGCCAGGTCCTCCTTCATGGCGTACAGGTACTGCCCGCTGGACCGGTAGGGACGGATGCTCCGCGCCCCCGTGCCCGGTGTCCCCCACATCCTGCCATAAGACTGGGAGGAGGCTGAGGGACAAGGATGATGGGGACATGGGGAGCTGCCCCAGCCCTGTCCCCAGCACGCCTCCCCGGCAGCCACACTCACCTGGTGCCACCTGCTCGTGAGGTGACAGTGTCCTGGAGGTGTCCAGAGCCCTTCTGGGGTCCCAGGGCTGTAATGCTGCTGGGGAGAGGAAATCACCCTCCCGGGCAGTGGGTGTTTTGTTTCCTTCCCAAGTGCTGAGCGCTTCTCCTTGGTGACAAGGGACTGGCTGCAAACACTCCCCGTTAACCCTTCAGCACCTGCTCCTCTCTCACAGCCCTGCTGCTCCCCAGCCATGCCAGGGGTGGATTTGTCCCTCCAGGGACCCTGGCTCAGGAAGGAGTTAGAGAGCAGCTCATCAGCACCCAAGCTGCTCCCAACCACACAAGGGGGATTTTCCCCCTTCCCAAAATCCTTACACCAATCTCCAGCACAGATGGGGTGACCTGAGGGCCACAAGGTGCATGTTCAGGGCAACCTCAAGGTGAGAAGGGTTTATTTTCACACCCACTTTTGGGCTTTCTCTGCTCTGTGCTCCTCTGTAAAGTCCTTCCTTCATTGCCCACAGCAGCAAGGTCTTTGGGACAAGCCAAGCTCCTGCAGGGATGGAGTGACTCCAGGAGTTGGGGCTTTAAGGAAATAACTGCACATGAGTGGGCACCTCTGGGAATGTGGGATACTCCCTCCCTAACCCAGGCCTGGCAGAGCTGCCACAGCACCCAGGTAATTCTGCAAAAAACAAATCTACCAGGGAAGTGTTGATGCCTCAGGACCAAAACAGAGCCTCTCCTGGGCTTTGTGGGGCTCCTTGCTGCGGTGGGGGACCCATCCTGTCCCTGGAGCCAGCTGCTGATGTCACTGCAGGTCACTGTCCAGCCGGGGTCATTTTGGGGGAGGGAATGCAGGAATCCCAGCTATTCTGTTTGGGGAATGTGTGGCAGGCCAGGCAGGAGGAGTCTGCGCCTGATGTGCCCAGCCAGGGAGCCCAGCAGGAGAAAAGAACCCTTGAGAGGCTGGATTTCCATCCAGGGCACCCGGGGGGCTGGACTGAAGGGCTCAGGGTGGGAGTTCACCTCCCCCAGACCCCCCAGCCTGACGGGGTACAGGAGACACAGTGGAGTGAGCCCTGCTGCCTCTGCCAGCAATGCTGAGCTCAGCCCAGCCCTGGCAGCATCTCAGGGTCCCAAAACATCCCACAGGACACAGCCCCAGGAAACACATGGCAGCAAGCCAGGGAAGAGATGGAAAACCCAAAAAGGGGAGAGGATTTGAGGTGGTTCCATCATCAGCCTCCGGTCACACAGCAGATGGGATGCCTGGCTTTCTCTTAATGGGACAAAAAAGGGATAATGAATTAATTCAGCCTGGGGAAAAAAACCAAAAAACTATTAATATATCCCAAAGCATGGAAAAATCCTCAGTAATTTGGGGATGAAGTAAGAAAGAGAATTTCCATGTTTTCATTGCCGTCAGTGAGTTTTCAGTGGGATCTATCTCCCCTCTTTGATCCTGCCAACATGCAAGCTGAGGCCAAATTCAGCAATCCCCTCTCCAACCCCAAACACCCACAGTCATCTTAAACACAGCCCTGTCAGAAAACCAGAGATTTGCTTTGAAAAAAACAACCCAAACCCAAAGTGTGACATGAAAACAAGCACAAATCCCAATGCCACAGATCCAGAGGTTGGTTTTATTTGCTGTCAAGTCTCCAAGCCCTTGGGACTCCCTGCAGGCCGCCTTGCCCTATTATCATTCAATTCCTATGAAAATGTGTGCTTCTTTGGCAATGTGGAAAATCCCCTGAGGTTTTGGGCAGGTGAAGACCCTGTGTCTGTGTCTGCACATGAAGGGCTCACTCACAAGTGTTTTGGAGAATGGGAAGAGTGCTGGCTCCCCATCCTGCCAAACCCACAGCTCAGCTGGCATCTGGCAGCACCAAAAGCCTCGAAAGCCTCGGGAAGTACCAGCCCTGGCATCCTGCTTAGGGCAAACCCTGCCCTGCAGGGAAGGTCTAGAAAGGGCAAAGATGAGGGAAAGAGGAATCCTTGAAGCTGCTGGCATGAGGAGGGCACCCTGATGTGGCACCCCAGCACAGCACCCTGACATGGCACAGCAGGAGCAGAGCAATGCTGGGCTCCGAGTCCTGGCAGAACTTAAATGGTTCAATAAATCATTTAGTAAATCTGAGCCCTGTCTTGCTCAGCACCAACCCCTCAGAACTCCAGCCCTGGGAAGCTGAGGTGCATCCCCAGCCCTGGGACACCGCTGGTGACCCTGCCCAGGAGCCTGCAGTGTTTCCAGGTGGGGAGTCTGCCTTGGGAAAGGAATGAGGAGTATGCAGCCACACTGTCCCCATGGGCCTGCATGCACAGGCATGTCCCGTGTCCTGCTCACCCTCTCCTCTTCCCCTCCTCCCCCAGTGATCTGTCACCCCGTTCATCCGGGTGGGGCCCAGGGACTCAGAAATTCGCTGATCCTGTGTCCCTGGCAGACAGCGGAGCACAGGCGCTTTCTGTGCCAGGTGAGCACAGCCCTTGTCAGACACGGGGGGACCCTCCCAGGCACCCCAAACCCATCTGAAAGGAAATGTTCCTGCTGCCTGGGAGCTGCACAGTGCCATGGCCAGAGCTCAGCGAGCCCCCCTTTTCTCTCCACCCCAAACCCCGCTGCTTTCAGCCCCAAAATCCACCGTGGTGGTGCCTCAGCAGAGTGCTGGGAGTGCTGAACAAACAGCAGGGGCAAAGCTCCACATGGACCCAAATTTTTGTCCAAATGTCTCCTTTCTTTTGGTTTTAAGCAGGAGATGTTGTCAGTCTGTTCTTGAAAACCATCCAAACCCCAAAGCAAGCAGCAGCAAGACGCTTCTCCACCTGATTGTGGGAAATGACAGATATCAACAAGTATCAACAAAGATATCAAAAATTATCACCAGTCCTGGTTTGGAAACACACGTGTAACAATATCCTGAAAGTTAACAGAAATTGGTGCGTTTGCAGTCTCCATGGCTGATACATTTTTTTGTGTGGTCTGTATAAAAAATCCTGTCCCAAAACCTGCGGGCCACCTGGCTGTGGCACGCCTGTCCCGGCTGCACCCGAGCTCTGCTGGTCACTGCTCCTCCATCTCACAGCTCCAGCCAGCCCCTGCCCACCCACCTCAGACAGGACCCCAGAGTCACACCAAGAGGGATCCAGCAGCGAGCCAGGCGAGGTCCATCCCCGTTTCACCCATCGCGCCGTGCTCACACCGTCTCCTGCTCGCTGGTGGCATCCCAGCAGCCCATCCAGGCCAGCTGCGTGGCCCATTTGCCGTTGGCCACCACTCTCAGCTTGGCCTGGTCAAATTGCCAGTACTGGTCATCCCGAAAGAAGTAGACGGAGCCGTGGCGGTGGGGCACAGCCCCGGCCGTGCCCGCGGGCAGCCCTGCCCAGTCCCGCAGGCTGCGCGGGTAGTAGGGCTCCATGCCCAGCGGCTCCTCGCCCACCACGAAGTACTTGGGGCCTTTGAAGAGGACGAGGCGCCGGAGCTGCTGGAAGTAGAGAGCGGTGTCCGGGTGCCGGGGCAGCCCCAGGGCGCTGCATTTTCGGGGAAATCCTGCCTCCAGCTCGGAGCCCGTGTAGCGCCAGCATCGGCCGCCTGCGGGGAGCGCGCAGGGTCAGAGCGCAGCCCGGCGTGGCCTGTGGCAGGACTGGCTCCAGGGGTGGACAGGCTCGGCCGCGGGACCAGCCCGGTGCTGCTCACTGACACCCAGCCCACTGCTGACCCAGCTGGAACCGCTGCGGGGCTGCCCCAAGGACCAGGCTGGGGGGAAACTGAGGCACGGCAGCTCAGGGGCTTGAAGGCATGGGAAGGGACCACCAAGGCCACCACCACGCTGCTTCTGGCAAACCTCCCCCCTGACCCTGCGCAGCGAACGGGACAGACAGAAACAGATCCAGACGAGGCTGGGACATCCAAAACCAGCACTGCAGCAGGAATTGCGATGGGGACCCGTGGCTTGGCTGTCCCCACAGCGCCCTGTCCCCACAGCAGGGCAGACAAAAGCCCCTTTCTGCTCCCAAGGCACAGCCTGACGCAGCCCTGGGGAGGACAGAGGGAGCAGCGAGGGCTGGGGAGGCAGAGGGGCTTTGGCTCTCACCCAGCTGCAGCACAAAGCCCCTTTTCTGAACAACCAGTGACTGATTTCCATGAAAAGCTGGGGCTGACCCTGGCAGCCAGGCTGCCTGGTTTGACCTTCCTCTCCCCATCTGGCTGCCAGGCCGATCATGGATGGTATTCCAGCTGCTGGGGCAGTTTAGGGATGGTATCCCAGCTCCTGGGGCAGCTCATGGATGGTATCCCAGCTCCTGGGGCAGTTTAGGGATGGTATCCCAGCTCCTGGGGCAGTTT